CTACCACCTGTTTCTCGATGACTTTGCCGGATCTTCCCATTTTCTTCCGCCTGCATTCGAGCCTGACCAGCAAATGGGTGGCATGTGGCCAAGACAAGCTGGTGACATGCACCAGCGCGGCTTGTCAAAGCCGACATCTCAGTTCCCCTCTCGCTTTCCATCAGTTCAGCCAGACGGAATATCAGGCATGGATGGGCAGGCACGAGGTGGCGATGAACCGATGAGAGCACCTTCTCTGCGAATATCCGCAGTGGACCACAACGTAATCAAGAACCGGTTGGATGAGTTTTCCTCTGTGCTTCCCGCAGATTTCATCTTCCCTTCACGCCACACCCTGACTAGATTTCTCGAAGGCTACATCAGTGGATTCCACGAGTATTTGCCCTTCCTACACTTGCCTTCTTTGGCCCCGGCCGAAATTGCGCCCGAGCTGCTGCTGGCGATATTAGCTGTCGGCGCTCAGTATCGTTTTGAAAGCCATCGAGGCCACGCATTGTGGTATGCCGCAAAGGCTGTTGCGCTCGAACAAATCCGAAGGCGACACAGCCACGAGGTGCATGCCCTCCTGCCTACGCCAGCAGCGTACAGCCCCCATTCGACCAGACCATCGCCAAGCACTGGCTTCCGACACACCTTTGCCTCGGCACAACAGGAAAGGCCCATGACGCAAGATACTCATCGTGAGCCTTTGTAAGTCACACTGACTGGGGCCGTGTAGGTTCCATCATCGCTGACGGTTGCAGTTCACCCAACACCCCGCAAGCACGGCTTGAAACCATCCAGGCTGTTCTGCTGCTCTTTGCCGTGGGCCTGTGGGGTGCGAGCGCAATCTTGCACGAGGCACTTTCACTGCAAAGCCATCTCGCAATCTTAGTCCGCGAGGAGGGCCTGACGGCCGAGTCGAGTCCAGGCGCAGCTCCTGACTGGGACACCTGGGTCCGATTAGAGGGCGCTTCGCGCACAAAACTGATCGCCTACTGCTTCTTCAACCTGTGCAGCATAGCGTACAATATGCCGCCACTGCTGTTGACTTCGGACCTCAGTCTTTTCTTGCCCTACCCGTCCCGTCTTTGGAGGGCTGAATCAGCATGGCAGTGGCAAGAAGCCAGGCAGTCATGCCCGTCTGTTGATATCACTGTGCATGATGCGTTTGCAAGGTTATTTGGAAGATCGCCCCAGAGCCTTCCTGCGCACATCACTTCATTGGGACACTACGTTCTCATCCATGCGCTAACGCAACATGTGTTTTTGCTCAAACAAACTTCATTCGCTCTCAGCTCGCCCTTTGAGCCGCAGAGAGGTCTCAAGCCAGACGATGTCGAAGAGGTACTTCAAGCCTTGCGAGTATGGCAGACTAGCTTCGAACATCGCCATCAACTGCGAGCAGCCGAATCAGCACACATGGGACCGAATGACACCTTCCCTGGCGGTCCAGTGGCATTCAACGCGACAGCTCTTCTGCGACTGGCGTATATACGGCTCTATACCGACATTACCCCGAGCAGGAGTCTTGAGACACGCGACCACATGCTGATTGCATCGTCACTGAGCAACACGCCTCTTCTAGTGCGAAGCCTTCGTCTCCAGAAAGCAGTGTTTCAGCAATCCACGCACTTTCCATGCTAGTCAAGGCTGGTGTCATTATGTCGCGAGAACAAAATCGCTGGAATGGAGCATTCAGCATTCCTGTAAGTCAATACTCTGTGCCGAAAGCACCATGTCGCTAACTCGTTTTTTAGTGGGGAACTTTGAGTGCGCCGTCCTGCTCTCGAAATGGCTTTTGACACTCTCGTCGATTGGGCCAAATGACCAGCCAGTGTCCACGGATGAAAAGAACTTTCTTGAAATGATCCGGCGCATGCTCGACGAAACCGAATTCGCCGTGCCGATTGATCCTTCATTGGGCGGCCCTGCGGCCAACCCGCCATCGAACATGGAGGCTTTGGCTGGGGATAGCACAAGACTGAGGCAGCTTGCTGCGGCAGTCATCCGCCTCTGGGCTGAGACATTTAAAGGCACGCACATTTTCGATCTGGTGCGGGTGATGGGGTCTAGTCTGGATGGCTACGCAAGTCTGGTTGAAAAGCCAAACGATCGGGCACCTATGGGACGGATTGCTGCTGAAGCTGGCCTCGGCTGAAAAATGGAATTGTGACATGATGGATGCCGGCGTTCTGGTTTTGGTCGGTGTGGTTTCAGTGGAAGGAAGCAATCATGGGTTCGTCATGGTGCTTGGTGACTTGCTGGGCCGGAGCAATAATAAGGATACCCGAAGTGTCCAGTCTTGCAAGAGCAGTCACAATTTGAATTATGTTGCTTGTTAGTTGGAAGATGGGTATACAGCAGTAATGCGCGACTTGAGCGTTGCTGATCGTAAGCCTGGAACTAATGGCTTTACAACAGTCGCGTTTACAATGAACAAAAGAGTAGGCATTGGATAATTCCATGACGTACAGCATGGACAGAAAGTGACTGATACATGGCCCAATATCGTTGCAGCGGTATTTGCCCAGACGAAGTACTACAAGAGCACGTGACATCGCGTGTGGGCGCATGTCCAATGGCGCGTTGGATTCGCGTCCAAATGACTATGACGACATCACTTTGTCTGGCTGACTGAACAATTCAGTCGGTCCCATTGCTGCAGGACGTTTCGCCCGCTTAACGGTTTCACATTGAATATTCTGACGCTCTTTTTGATTGACAAGACGACATTGGCCATGCCAGCGCGGAAAAGAGCAGCGGCCTCGCCGCCCGAAGACGAACCTCGTAGACGACCGCGACGGACTACGAGTACGCCCAAGACGAGCGCGTATTTCGATGACGAGAGCGACGAGAGCGCTGATTTCAAGGCAGACGATTTGTCCGAGGACGAAGAAGACGAAGAAGACGAGGAGATTGAGCATGAGCCGCCAAAGCGCGGGCGCGGACGGCCCCCTACGAAGACCAAGGCCAAGGCCAAATCGCCCATCGTAAAGCGGAACGGGACAAAACTGAAAAAGGGCAAGAAGAGCAAGGAAGAGGAGGAAGAAGACGTGGACGAATACAAGGAGAAGGAAAGTTCAGAGGAGGAAGATGACGAGGATGAGGACGACGACGACGATGCGGCTCCGCGCGTGACGATTACGAAACTGATCGGCCTGCGGCCTCTAGACGGGGTCGAGTACGCCGACACAAAGCTGCACAAGAACACGCTCGCCTTCCTCCAGGATCTGCGAGCGAACAACACGAGGCCCTGGCTGAAATGTGAGTTCCTCACCCCCCGAGCCACCCGACCCGTGGCGAACAAGAAAAGAGACGAGGCAGGGACTGACAGTTTTCGCCCGCAGCCCACGACGGCGAATACCGCCGCGCCCTCACCGACTTCAACACCTTCATCGAGGCGCTGACGCCGCTCGTCTCCGAGGCTGACGAAACGGTCCCCGAGCTGCCGCTGCGCGACCTCACGTTCCGCATCCACCGCGACATGCGCTTCAGCAAGAACCCGACGCCCTACAAGCCCCATTTTGGCGCCGCCTGGTCGCGCACCGGGCGCAAGGGCCCCTACGCCTGCTACTACCTCCACGTCGAGCCCGGCAGCGCCTTTCTCGGCGGGGGCCTGTGGTGTCCGCCCGCCGAACAGGTGCGCGCCCTGCGCGAGAGCGTCGATGCGCGCCCGGCGCGGTGCGTGCCGTCTCAACGGGCCCGTCTTCAAGCGGATGTATCTCGAGGGCAAGGGCAAGGGCAAGGGAGACGAGGAGGCGGTGGATGCGTTTTGCCAGGGCAATCAGGAGAATGCGCTCAAAACGAAACCAAAGGTATTTTCTTTCCTTTTCCTTTTCTTCTTCTCATCATTTTCGTCGCGCTGCGTTCAACTCCCTTCCTCGCAACTAGAGTTTGATGCTGATGATGGTGCGTGATCAGGGCTGGGAGGCAGACCATCGTGACATTGGGCTCCTCAAGCTGAGGAGCTACACGGTGGGGGCCAAGATTGAGGACGGGCTCTTCGCGCGGGAGGACGCGCAGGAGAGGCTGAAGGACATGGTCGTGGCGATGGAGCCTTTCGTGAGTACCCGTTGCACACTGCGATTGTACATTGTCTTTGCTGACTCGCCAGGTTACCTTTCTCAATCGCATAGTCATGCCGGACCCTGGGGATACGAGCGACGAAGAGGATGAGGCTGCGCCAGAGGGTAGTGATGACGACGACGAGAACGAAGGAGAAGGAGAGAGTGAGGGCGCTGATTGAGACGACGCACATTTGGAGGCTCTCAAAAGCTATCGCCAACTTCAAACAATTTCAATCGATTGGATATCACGACCGGACCGGGTAACGTAGTGTTGAAGCATGGAGGCGACTGCAAGTAAAGCTACATGGATATGCACACATCAACGCTGCACTGAGGTGGGACACGACGTGTTCAACTCATCATCATGGCTGTCTATATTAAGGCGGCTTTCAAGTCATGCCGCATTACTGTACATTTTCCACGTTCTCTAGCATCCGCACACGTTCAACCGGCCAACAGCTGGGTCGTGGTCGCTCACAACATCGGCGAAGCGACGCCACGAGGAGACGTGGATGTGCTCGAGCTTGGCCTTGTCGTTGACCAAGGAAGGGCTGATCAGCATGTGGTCAAGCTGCTGGGCATTGCCGTCAAAGACGTAGCTGTAGCGCTCCGTAGCCGGCAGGCTGTGCTTGCTCAGGCTCGTCAACTTGTGCTTCTCGGTGAGGAGCTTCATAGGCGCAACAAAAGCAAACTCGTTGAAGTCGCCAGAGACGACGATGCGGGCCTTGGGATCCTTGGCATACAGAGTGTCAATGAAGGCGCCGATGCTGCCGGTCTGGAGCAGGCGCTTGTCGACGCCGTTGTTGATAGGAGGGCGGTTATCGCCGTGAAGGGTGGAAGAGCCACCCTTAGAGCCGTTGTGGACGTTGATGGTGAAGAAGGGCTTGGTCTTGGGGCCCTTGATAGCGCGCCAAGAGGCGGCCAGAGGCTTGCGACTGTTGGCCCAGGCAGCGTCGTTAGCTACATCGATGCGGCCGGGGTTGAAGGACAGGGCGGGGCCGTCAACGACGACAGTCGAGTCGAGGCTGCCGCCCTGGTTGGGCTTGTAGACCTCGAGGACATCAGGACGGTAGAGGTACTAATCACACCTTATCAGTCAGTGCTTCAAAGGTCATCATCACGGGTCGACTCACCCGGTCTGAATGTTGCCTCCAAGCCTGGCCACATCCTGGTTACGGATGGGGTCAACGTTGAGCCACTCGTAGACAACACCGCTTCTCTCCTCGATGGCGGCAGCAAGCGTAGCAAGAGTGATGTTGGCGTTGACAATCAGGTCGTTGGTGGGGCCGTTGCTGTCCTGAACCTCCTGAAGGAAAATCAGGTCAGGAGTCTTCAGGTAGTCGACAATCTGGTCAGCGACGTCGGGGAGGTGCTCGGAGCCGGGCCACAGGTTCTCAACGTTGTACGAGCCAAAGGTGATGCCTCGGCAGTCGCCGCTGCTCTCGAGGGTGGTGGGGCTCGTCTCAGCAGAAGATGCAGACTCAACCTTGACAGCAGTCAGGGGCAGGATACGGTAGAAGCCGAAGGAATAGGTGACAACGCCGGTGATGTCGGCAAGCTTATCGCCCATCTTCGACTCCGGGTTGCGGGTACCATCGAGGGGCGAGCCGATGAGCACGGTCTCAGGGTTAGCGTCTACGTGCGTGATCAGCCAGATGTCGCACAACGTAAATTCCAAGCTCGAGTCAACGCACCCTTGTCAAGCAGAGAGATACCGCCATGCTCGTTGCGACCGGTAGCAGTCCAGGTGCCGAGGACCCAGGTGTCGCCGAATTGGTTGGGACGGGTCACGCCGACGGGGGCCTTGACGGTGACGAGCTCGCCGTTGAGAGCCTCCCAGAAGTCCAGGCCGTACTTGGTGGGCTCGAGCACAGGGTTCACAGCAGAAATACGACGGACATCGTTGGGAACGGCAAAGACATCACCGCCGTCGAGGCTCGTATACTGCTCGGTGGGCGGGCTGGGAGTGTCCTCGCCAATGACATAGGCAACAACCGCGTTGTTGCGCGAGACAATCTCCACGTTGCGGGGCGTGGCAAGCTCGGTCAGGTAGAGATGGGTGTTGGTGGACCTAGGGCGTTGCGTGTCAGTTATGCTTAATCCTAGCGGGGTTTTGCCCGCTCTAACGGTCAAGCACGCACCTGAACTCCAGAATGGTGCCGTCAAGCTTGATGATGTCGCCAACAGCAAGGTTTGCGCCGACATTGCGGTCAAAGACGTAGACGGCCTCAGAGGTCAGGTCGTCGTCGTCGGGCACGGTGGAGCGGATCCAGACACCGTTGGGGCCCTTGGCGAGGACGAGGCCTTCAACAGCCGTCACATTCTGTCCCTGGAGCGGTGACAAGAACTTGTTGCCGTTGATCTCGGCAATGGTGGTAGCCGCAACGGCACCGGCGAGAGAAAGAAGGGTGGCGGAGACCTTCATCTTGGAGGATCGAGGAGATCGCAAGATGGTGATGCGAAGGTCAATCAACAACGAGACGACGAGGAGGAACCTGCAAGAAGGGACGATTTCTCGTGAGATCGGCGGCCTGGAG